AAAAGCACTTTATGCGAAGATTAAGTGATACATTTCTAGTAACATTGTGAAATGAAAATGCAAACAAACCACCTCGCCCTTGAAAATGCAAAAGCTTAATTTTTTTTCCATAGTCTTGTTTCTAAAGCGAAATTTTTAAATGTGTTTTGCTTTAAAACGCTTGAAAAAGAATGGTAGTGTCACACAAAAGCATAAAAAATTCAGTTCGTAAAAGTTACCCGAACCCATGAAAAATGCAAATGCAATGTGTTAAAAATTCAAACAAAGCAAATTATCGCGACACTATTACAAAAAATTCAGATGCTACAATAATTACTGTACTTCTTAAATTTTAGGATGCCTTCCTCAGTTGCAGTTCTTATCAACACAGATACATGCACACACACATACATAGAAGAAGAAAAGAAAAGAAAAATGTCAGTTCTAAGACAATAAAATGAATGGAATCACATATTAAAATCTGTGATCGATTAATAATTTCAATAAGATATCCATCTAAATTATTAATCTATTCTACGAACTTTGTTTTCATAGTAAATTGTATGAAAAAATACACCTTTGATTCGAGGAAATATAGTAAACATAAGACATTTATTTAAGTTAACATGTTGGAAGGAACATTTCCTGCCAACTTCAAGGCTCATGTATTTTCTCATTAACAGATTAAGAAGTAAGAGGATTATTTTGAATTTAGGAATGAAATACAATAAAAACATATGCAAAACCTTTCAGTTCTTTTAAAAACATGAAGTTGCAGTTCTTATCAACACAGATACGTGCACACTCACACACATACATACACAGAAAGAAGAAGAAAAGAAAAGAAAAAGTTTTACATTTTGAAAAGCATTATACAGACACTATTTTAAAAATTCTAATTAAAAGTCGCATCTTAAATTGAAGTAACTTTCAATTAGAATTTTTAAACTCTTGTCTGTATAATGCTTTTCAAAATGTAATACTGCTAGCATTACGGAATTCTTTTTAGCTATGCCGTATAGACAGTAATTAAATACCCCCAAAAATTCATGGTAAACGTTAATAATTAAGATTCACTTTAATTGTTAATAGCGCTCTAATAAAATATGTCTGCTGCATTATTGATCCTATGTCGTATATAAACTCCACAAAATTTTTTATATCTTTTTTCATTATAAGTACTTAGTGTCAAATACAAGTTTTTATTTCCAAAGAGAAGGAGATAAGATCGCAAATGAACAGTCTAATAATCTCAGATGTATGATATATATGTAATGTTGTAAATACGCACATACCACTGGAACTTACGACAGCTTTCGATAGTCGAGTGGAAAGGCAAGAAAACGATGTTGACATAATCCAAGTTCAGCTAATTACCATCTTTATTTCTAAGCACCTTAGAATCGCTCTTCGTAGACAATATACTTTTTGATTGCACTTACAATAATTTTTCATATACACAGATTAAAACGGGAGACATCAAGCAGAGCATCGGGGAGATTTTCGACTGTCTCGCAAGCCATGTGACACAGACTGATCTAGGAATGGCGTAGTCCAGAAAAGTTCTTTCGATTGTTAGAATACAGAGAGGAGACACCCAAATGATATATGATAATTTAAGATCTTAATTAAGTTATAAAGCTGATTTGGATGTTTTTTATCTTACACACACACACATATATATATATATATATCATATGTATTGATGCGTGTGTCTTTGTATGTGAGGGATAAAATATATTTAAATCAAAATTATAACTTAAATTAGCAACAGCCCCTTAGTTTTTTCACTTGGATATTTTCCCTGTTAGTCCTAAAAATTGCAATTGCTTAATAACGTCTTCTGGAAAGCACCATTTCTAAATTAATCCACATCATAGGATTATTACATAACGATGAGCACGTAGTTAAACCCAAAATTTCCAGTACCGAAAACCTTTCACCTAATCAATTTGCATGTTAGATAATAAGCACTTACTTTTTAAACCTCAGCATAGATAGACTGCTGTTTGCAGCTTCGCTTCTTGTAAGAAAGCTGATTAGAATGCCAAGTGAATTATTGCCACAGATATCAATAAATGAGAAATCGATGAGATGAAAATGAATATTTAATTTGTCTCGAAACGCAAATTTGCTCTTCGTTATGCGTCAACATCTATGCTAATTATATTTTTAGAACAATATATGTATGCATACATATCAATAATACCCAACGAAATTGCTCAACTTTTATTTTGGAACGTTATGTTTGGAAGTTAAATTGTGGTAAAAAGTAATAGATATAATTAACATCAGGAACAAGAATGTTCAACATTAAAGAGAAAAGGAAAACTTTAAAATAAATTGTATGTTTCATGCTAAACATCAGCTTAGGTAAACAGAAAAATAAATGATTTCAAAGATCAAGAAAAATATGAAAAATTCATTTCCAAGAGCACAAATAAACAGTACAGGAATATTCATAATTAAAAACCTTATTCTATTCAAATAGAAAGAAAAAACTGCTCTTCCAGAAACAAAGAATAAAAATGTTGTTTACGAAAGGGAAATACGTTCCCATTTAGGAATGGGAACTGTAAGTTTCTATGAATGCATGAGTGAATTGTTATTCATAAAAGAAATGGAAAGTAAACATTCATGAAAAATGAAAAGACACAGACTACTTATTAGCAGTAATTTTATATGGTTACCTCTAAAGTAGGTAAACATTTCAGTAACGTCATATGCTTTGAAATATTTTTTTCTGTGTATCTCAATGGTTTAAAATGCTAATAAGGCATGATCAGTCAACCCTCAAATTTCTATCAATTGCTTTGACACTACGGAAACATTTTAAAGAACTTCAAACGTTTTAAGCTCTGTGGTAGCTTCCTAGATTGATCGCGAACTAGCGCGTAACTTTTACTACGCCATGGTTCCAAAAGGTTTTGAAGTCAGGAGTTGCATTCTTCTAGCAGAACTAAATATTTTAGATGTTTGAAAACCTAAATAATTTAGGCTGTTTAATAAAGCAGCAGAATGAATTTTTTCGGAATGAATTTTATTTAAAATCTTTTCTTAAATGATTAAATTTTCTCTAAAGAATTTTTTCACATATTAGACTTGCTATTCTGCGCCAAACGCTATGATGTACTTTAAGCTTGATTTCGCATATATTGTACGGACTAAATAACATAGGAAAGCATCTTATCAATAGGCGACGAGGAATTCGAGGGAGAGAAGACTCATAATACCAATTATGAGCTACATAATGGATTTGAAACACATGACTTATTATTTCTAATAAAATGCTATTTCACAATACTTCCTATATGAACCCATGCATTCTGCTGAAGGCACCGAAGTAAAATGTTCCAGAAGAAATCTTGAAGTTTCATCAAAGCTGAAAAGTAATACTGCAGAGTTCAGCGAACATGGTCGTATACCATACTACTTTCCTTCTCGCTTGGTTGTTTGCTTTAGGAATAGTCCTTAAACATCGAAATGCTGTAACAGAAACACTGCGTCTTCACCATATGGTTCTGAAACAGCATAACGTTTTTAATCATTATTACTCAGGCGAACCAAGGATTTTAAGGCTACGTTTTGGTAACCTGAAGCGGTATTTATTTTGACTCAAAGCACAATCTAAAATAAGATCTCATTTTACTGTTGTCATTCATATGAGAATTGCATATGATCTAATGCTTCCATCTAGACATTTAATGCATTTAACACGAACTTAAGTTACGTTTAACTTATGCAACTCTGACACATTTCTAACAAGAAAAACACAGATTTATTAGTTTATTGAGCATGAATTGTAATTAACATTGTCATTAAACAGTTTGTGAAGTATTCTTAAGAAAACATTTATTTCCCTTTCTGAAATAAGAGGACAACACATCTAACAGTGACAAAACTTTAAAAACAAAGATATTTTAAACAGCATGCAAATGTTTATAATTTTCAACAGAGCAACAAACTTGAGAAGTGGGCAAAGTTTCGAATTTATAATTCTTGATGTCCTCGAAATCTTCAAATTAGGCTTACTTAACACGTAAAAGGTAATGCTTCCTATTCAAGCTTATTTTTATTAACAGGCATATGCTATCATACAATTATTCATTTTTTCCTTTGATAATTAATATTCTGCCATCTTTTGAAATATTTTTTTTTTCTATAACACTGAGAGAATTCTCACAAGTGAGATATTTCCTACAATGAAACAGTCGGGAAGAATAAAGGCTAATACCATAATTTCTGGATTTTGTCTAGAGCCAATCCGCACTTTTAAAAATTTAATTCTCCGAAAGTAATTTATATAATTCTCCAAAATTCCTTGGAATTTCGTAAGTTTCATAAAGGTTTATGATAAAATATTGTTTTCGGTCTTAGAAATACTATTTTTGCAAGAAAGAGCACGTGTTATTTATATATAATAATACTTTCTTTGAGCATAATTTTGGGGCATATTGTTAAAATAAATGCAAGTATCAAAATTATTACATGGAAAAACAAAGTAAAATACTATTAGTTAATAAGCTAAAACTTAGAACAGAACATATTTAATTTATTATTAATAGTATTTTAAATAGAAATTAATAGTATTTAAATGGTAAATTAAATAGTATTTTGGTTTTACAAATTTAAACACATTTTGCTTTTGTTCACTTCGCATTCATTTTGTTTTTAGTACTTATTGTTTTATGAAAGTTTAGAAATCTTTAAAAGTTTTTCTGCAAACAAAGAGAGATACTAAATGTTTAATTTCTCCCTACTTTAATCAGCGATTTTGCGGACTTGTATTTTTGGAATGCAGATTAGAATATGCAAGATTATTTATATCTCTGGCAAATTATTTGAAAAAAAAACTGAATAATAAAAATAGTATTTAGCCCTTCTGGAATACGAAGTACCAAACTATCGGTAACTGGCATATTGCAGTGGCACAGTTAGGTTGCAATGAAGAAATCTCAGTAAAGTGCACAATAAAATAAATAATTATTTTACAGGAAAATTGAAAATGACTACTTCCTTACCAACGACATTGAGCCTTATGCTGAGACTCATTTTCGGTTCCGTGCTCACTTGGCATTCATACACTCCAGCATCTTTTTTCTGGGTATATTTGATTTCTAAGGTCCAAATTTCAGAATTTTCCAGATGAATCGAAGTAAATCTCTGGTCGCTCGTGTAAGTATATTTTCCCACTGTGAGAATATGAAGATCCCGTTGACGAACCCAAGAAACCTAAAACAGAAAAAAAAAAAAAAAAAAAAAAAAAAAAACTTTTTAGGTAACCAACAAACTAATTTTCAACTTGATGTAATATAGCAACAAAACCATAATTTTACTCTGCGTCAGTTATGCATTATTCTTTAAATTGTATGCCAATCTTTAATTTGCATGATTAAATATGAAAACGTACTCTCAAGTCTCGATGGATACTTGCAAATGTGGTTTAGGATACATAGAAATATTTTCTCGTTGTCTTAAACAGAACAATTTTCATTACAAAATAAAATAAGCCTTTCCGTTTTATTATGAAAGCACTCTTTTTGGATGTTTAGAATTAATGAACTGACAGCTGAAGGCATTCTGTACTTTAACTAATCATAAAGGAAATATAGGGAAACCTCATATTCAGAGTTATCATATGACAAGTATAATTTTAAATGTTTAATATTTCTGTGAATATTCAAAACGACAAATTCGAAGATACGTGTTCTCTTCGGTTAAAATATTCTGTACTTATTCCATTTGGTCTAGGCAAATTTCCTTAATTTGAAATATGTGATGTGACAGCATTTCACACGAAATTTTAATTCGAAGAAGAAAGAGTAGAAATAATAATCATCAAAATTTTTAAATTACGTTTGTGGTCTAAAAATTCTGCGAATATGAAAAATTACTTTCTATACCAAAAATACATTAACGTTTCATTATAAATTTAAGTTCTACTTTAATTTAAAATATTCTTTCTCTAACACGTGTTCTTAAAATCTCAAGTACTTAGTCAGAAACTTCATCTTCTTAGTCATGCATAGATGCGATTCTAATAAAAAGTATATTTCTCTTCTTGAAGAGTAAATTGTTTGTTTACTTTACAATAACTTTGAATTAAACTCAACATTTTAGGTCTGGATGCGCTCTTCTTCAACAAAGTGGCGTTATTTAAGCAACCAATAATTGATAGATAACGTGGAAAACATAACCACGATGATTTATTTTACCATCCACTGGCTGATATTTCTTGAAAACAAAGCTTGACTAGGTCCTCCATATCTAGAATCATTCTGATTAAAATATTCCGCTTCGCTGTCATTTAGGTGTAGTTTTCAGGAAAGCGTACCTGCCACCTGTAAATTATTCACCAGGCGCAATTTCGATTGTTTTATATGTAAAACCGGCCTTAAATATTCTTATCGGTGCATGTCAAATTAACTTTATTTTCTACTATAGTTATTTAGTTTAATTGCATTTAAAAAGCTTTCTGTTTCATTCCAAGGACAGCGATTCTCTTAATTGCAAGCGATGGTGACTTAAATCATTTTACACCAGTTCGATTATTTAATGAAAACGATACACATAAGAGCTAGTTGCATAAGCTTCAACCCAGATTTAATTGAGAATACTGTGTTGTATCGAACCTAAGGATCTTTGTGCCCTCCTTCCTTTGTTGCCAACAATTACAGAAGAATTATACCATCTCCAGAAAAACTGGTTTGGCGATAGTTGAGTATACTCTGAGGAAAATAACATATTTAAAAAAAAATACTAAAATGGATTACAGTACTTACATAGCAATTCTGAAGACCCAAATGATCGTGAATCATCTCAAAAGATCTCATTTTTAAAGCTAATTTTGCATGCGAAATTCTGATAAACGCATATATGAGTTCTGCAGGATACTGGGTATGACGGGTTTTGTTACAATGACTCATTCGAAGTGTCGGGCAAAATATCTGAGATTTTCCTTTATGTCACCCTGCCATCAAATTTTGCAACAATTTATATACACTTTAATACTGATTCTCTAATAATTATTTCAATTTATTTAACTACTAATGGTTGTTTACTATAAAAGTTTTTCGGTTACATTCTTGTTTGAAATGCAATAGGATTTAACATTCTTTTACAGGTTTGACAATATGACATTTGCATAATTTTTATGCAACATTAACACAAAAGATTAATTTCAAATTAAATTGCACTATTATCCTTAATAGGAAGCTAGTTGATTTCTTTATGTCTAAATAGCTCTAAAGGCCTCATCTTTGCGATTTGGGGGTTCCATTTTTGACATATGATTATTGTTCTTTCTCTAACATATTTTAAGAAAATTATTTTTCACTAGCTTTTTTCATTTGGGATTTATTGATTATTTGATATTATGATCACTAAACACAAATCGTATTTCTGAATAACCGATTTCAAATAAAGAAACTGATTAACTATTTGCTTTAAAAAGTTAAAAATTAATTATTGGAAGATACTGAATACATGAAATTTTATATGGTTGAAGTATGTCAGTACCGGGAAGACAATAATAATATTGAAAACTGATACCAGTAAGACTCAAAATTTAGGGCTTTGAAGGCTTTATGTAGCTTGATATGTATAATAATTAAAGATGATGATTACTGATTAGAGATAATGTATTGTTGGGAGCAGATGTGAATTCTGAAGAAGCTCTGAATGTTTATTAGGTGTATGGTATTTGTCCAGTAAGGGGATACGTAAAATAATGCCGAACGTCCTCTCGAGAAGCCTGGTAGTAAGGGAAGAGGGGTGTGACATTTTCAAATAGTCCCCTTGGAGATCCTTTTTCAAAACTGTAAGGGGCTTGGCAAATTCCTACTGTCACCAATAAGCCTCCCAGGCCGACGACAGACCTAACTTTGACAGCCCAGCATCAATACAATTCGTATACTTGATGCGATGTTACAGCCAAGAGTTAAGCCACAACACACAAACACGAAGATTCTATATTATACTCGTACCTATGGTTATATTATACTCGTACCTGGTTTTCATAAGAATAAGGCTCAGATTCGATGCTCTTAAAAGGAAACGATGAAGCGTTTAGAAAACGCAGGTGTAGTGCTGTTTAAGAATATGTATTATTTATAGTGCGCGTGTTGTAAAAAGTGTATAAAATGGTACGTACTCCATTTATATCAAGTTTTTTGAAAATTTCCAAAGCTTATATTAAAAATAAGAATAGCAAATTAAAAATATTCATCTAAAAGCATATTAAACGAGCTGGAAAATTCTGTATTAATAACAGTGCAAGCATTCATGCAGTTGAGATGATGGATATAAATCTGGATTGTTTGCCAGCATCACACCAGATCTCAAGAATTATAGTTATCAGGCTATAACGATTTTTATTGATTATTTATTACAGAACTGGAGATTCAAATTTTATGAATATATCAAATTTTGAATAAAATTTGTAAATATATCAGGCTGCAATATGTTTACAAGATGTATACACAATCGTAAACGTGCATAGTGCTTTCTCAATTGAAAACAAAAATTTTCAGATTACACAAGGTAATTTTTAGACTGCCGGAAAATGAACGAAGATGAACCACATTCAGGAAGATTTTTGACATCTAAATCATAGGAATGTCGAAAAAGTATAAACTATTTTCCCTTCAGATTAATGCTAAACATCGACAATAGTCGTAAATGAACAATTCGACGATTTAGTATTCGGAACATGTTGTAAATATTACAACATATGCTGAAATTTGACAGGAGAGATTTCTCACAGATATCACTAGTTAGAGGACGTTTCTGTTTACTTTTTCAAAGATGGCAACAAAGTTATGAAGCGCGTCAGTGGCACAATACTTTACTGAATGGTCTATTGCCTGCTACTTGCAACGCTTCCGTCATAGAGACACGGACATTTACGCATGCGGTAGGGAACAGATATCTAACACTACGGACGGAAGCCGACTTGAGCGACATCCAGAAAAAAGCATGAAAGAAGCTGGTGTTCAATTCTAACCGCAGTGCAATAGTATACACAAAGAATGTGTGAAGCCTTTTTAAATCTATCACAGCTTTTCACCAACAATCTTCTCAATTATTTTACCACACATTCCTTGCACGCATAATTCATAGCAAATAAATTTTGCATAAGAATATCACATAAATTTTATATAAAATACTAAAACTGTTAAGCGTTTACAGCTCGTTGGTTATCTAAAATAGAGATTTCAGATTTAGATTGATTCAAAAGGATTCAAAAAAAAAAAAAAAAAAAAAAAGGTTTAGTTCATTCTGAGGAAAAAATGCAAAGAAAAATTTTAATTAATAAGGGTAGTATACTAATTCTGCTGTTTATGATATTGATATCCCATAATATTTGCCCTTGAATGGAAAAAAAATATCTCAGCGTTCATTTTATTCACATTTACAAAACTGGTCAACAGTTATACTTTTTAACTGATTATTAGTAAAAAACGTTCCAGCAGTATTGAAAAATTATCGAAAAGGTCATACGTTTACCCAATCCTTTTCACGTAATCTCTTGCGACATCATGAGGCAACTTAGGTACCTAAGAATTTCGAGACACATACCCATCCTAAGTACTAGAGAAATTTTTGATTGCAATGGCTGTGTACTAAATTTAATGTCCCTGATCAAGACATATCACTAGTCGTTTCAAAAGATCAACTTAGGTTTATTGACATCGTTCATCACGTCCGTTATATTACTTCAAAACTATTGACATCCCTCTTTTCTTGGCACCCAACTCTAATCTAGCTGGACTAAATATTTCAGTGCAGTTTTTACTTCAATATTTGATCTAACGTGGTTTCAAATTTTTAGTTTTGTTAATAACACTTGACATAAAATCCAAATAATACATCTAAAATTTATTTTCAGGTAACAAATAGCAGAGGTACAGCTTTTGAATGAAATATCCATTATGCTGAATTTCCTTGATATCTAATGCACTTCAGAAAATGCAGTAGGGGCTGTTTGAATACTTCTTATGATTGTCACCATATTTAGTGAAGCCACAAATAACCTGGCGTAGAAAGCGCACCTTTTGTAGAATTAATACTTCATAATTTTATTCCTTTGAAAATATATGAAGAAGAAAGAGACGTAGAGAATAGCAAATTTGCAAGCAAGAAGAAAAATGCGTACTTCTTTAAAAGAAGGTTTAGTTAAGTTTTAATTTTACTTTTCCGCTAAATTTGATTTTAGTTTGCAGATTTCTATA